AAAAAAAAAAAAAACACAAAAACAAAGCATAGGTACATATTAAGGCCCCTTATATTGGGGTTGCAGTTGCTACTGTAATAGTTTTCTCTTTTTGCGGACTGTGTTTCGCACTATCGCGATCGCATCGAGTATACTACTGAGTGACGAAAGTTGTTGTAAGTTGTCGTTACCAAAGTCATCGCGTTTGCTGTCGCGGCGACAAGAGCAATCACCGCAGCAAGCAGCAGCAAAGTGAAGGGGCGGTACGAGTCGCCTGGACAGCCGATGCAACGACACGAGGAGTTGGGAATAGTCATACACTGGTACAGTGTTACATGCGGGCCACGGTGATGCACACCCGCTACTTTCCTGATTTCCACTTTCAGACTTGTAAACAGCCTCATCATCGTCATCATCCATAGCAGCATCGGTTGAGGAATAATGATCGTTATCCCTAAACCTTAAACTTAAATCCTAAACCGTAGCCGTAAAACAGCCAACGTCATCATGGGGCCGACGGATGGCTTCAAGTCTCTAGAGCTGCTAAGGCTGGAGACGCACGAGGACACGGACGGCACGAGACGCATTGTGAGACCAATATCGGGGGGCCCTAAATAACTACCAATACTATTATTTTAAATTTTGAAGTTCCTGATCTGATTGTATCTTTAGTATAGTAGAACCGAATCCCGCTATGCCCGAAACCCACCCTAAACCCTAAACCCTAAACCCTAAACCCTAAGCCCTAAACCCTAAACCCTAAACCCTAAACCCTAAACCGTATAACCCCCAATTTCCAGGGCCTAGAGTTGAGGGCCGAGGACCCTCGACACCCCCGAGATTACCTGAGGGTTTGGGGTTATAGGGTTTAAGCTTTAGGGTTGTAGGGTTTAGGGTTCAGGGTTTAGGGTTTTGGGTTTATAGGGTTTTGGGTTTAGAGTTTAGGGTTTTGGGTTTGGGGTTTAGGGTTGTAGGGTTTAGGGTTCAGGGTTTTCAGGTTTATAAGGATTGAGAGGGGATCCCCGATTCCGCGCTGGGTCCTCATAATGTACCATGAGACTTGACCCGACATCTGAAAGCCGTCCAAGCATCTAAACTCAATTCTGAATCTTCGCTTATCTGGTGATAGGGTTTGGGTTTTAGGGTTGTTTGAGTTTTGAGTCGAGATATTCCGCCCCGATGTCAACCTTTTGCACGAAAGCTCGACGACCTGCATCCAGGATGCGGATGGTGTATTATTTTTTTTTGCGGGGGTGGGTTCCTTATTATAGTAATGATTATTTTGGGAGCTTCTTATCATGGTTATAAGTCTTTTGGGGGTTCCTTATTATAATTATAGTATACTGGGCTCCAAAAACCCTATTCCAAGTATTAAGGTCCCCCTAAACCCTAAACCCTAAACCCTAAACCCTAAACCTGCGTGCAGGATGCGGATGGTGCGCTGTTGCGCCCCGTTGTAGATTCTCTCTGGAACCTGACCTTCAATGTGAAGGCCAGTGCTTTGTTCTTTGCATTTTCGGAAGCGTTTAGGGTTTAGGGTTTAGGGTTTAGGGTTTAGGGTTTAGGCTTTAGGGTGGTTGTACAGGAGTCAGGCACTTCCTTTACTAGGGTTTGTAAGGTGTAGGGAATAATTTTCAGCTGTATGCAATAGAATACACCCTCAACCGTGTCATCATCTCTAGTGCCCTAACTTGGTCTACAGATTGCGTACAGGGATGCACCAAATACACTGACTGCTATTCTGTGCTGCGATGTATAGCCCTGACAAATTTCACTAAGGTTCTTCTTCCAATTGAGTTATCTAGCCTAAAGCAGCTGCACCATACGATCATTAGGTTTAAGGCCTACCCTAAAACCTATAAGACTCCACGGACGCGGTACGAGAGGCTTTTCAGCCCAAAGACCATGCCTCATACAGTCCTATAGTCTCCATTGTAGTTCCTTTTGGGGTTACCTTATAGGATCCTAATTATATAATTGGTTAAACCAAAAAAAGGAACTACAATGGAGACTCTAGGTACAGATTCTAAACCCTAAACCCTAAACCCAAAACCCCAAACCCCAAACCCCAAACCCCTGAACCCTAAACCCTAATACAGTGTTGCCCAAAGACCATACTCGACACGGTTTTGTGCCGAGGTTGAGCCTCCGCGCGTTGGCAAAGGGCTCATACCTTAAGAACCCAAAACCTAATTTTTGTAGGGTCCCTATAAATCCCATATTAGGGTTTATAATAAGAACCTAGAAAGAAGTGGGTTTTGGGTTCTTAAGGTAGGCAATCATTGCCACAGCGCCCGGTACCGAAACTTGACAAGCATGATCGCCTCGCCGGGGCATACAGAGTAGCATCCCTTCAGGGATCCAGCATGCAGGAATCTTAGGGATTTGTTAGGGTTAATGGTTTATAAGATGTAGGGATTCAGGGCTGACTGTTGGGTTAATCTGGTTTATGGGGCTTTTAGAAGACCTGTCATATAGGAGGCTCAAACCCTTCCCGGTTTTAGGGTACATCCAGGCTGAATGTTGAAGATACGAACCAGAATATCACATGGTCATGTCGGTATTTTGAAGAAGGGACAAGGCGCGACCCTCCAATATAGATTTGTGCTTTGGTGTCTTGGCCGGTTCTTGAAGGCAGTCGAGTGGGCCAGGGCGACAGGCGGTGCCCGCCGTGTTGCATCGGTGCTGCCGGCGGACTTGTTCGCTTGACGTGAAATACAGACAGGGTTTAGGGTTTAGGGTTTAGGGTTTAGGGTTTAGGGTTTGGATGGAGTTCAGGGTTTAGGTACAGGGTCATGCTGTTGTGTGACACTGGAAATGGCAGATGCATCACAGCCCAAGTTTGCAGAACAGAGAAATCACGGCTATGTGGTATGTAGGAATGTAGGGTAGCAGCCGTAATTGTAGGCGCATCTTCCCAATGTGTCTGATCGTACATGAACGTAGGCCCATGTCAGAGCAAATGCAGTTGTAGTTTGCATATATATATATATAATATGTGCATGGATAGATAGACATACAGATAGATAGATAAGTAGGTAAAAATACAGATAGACAGACAGACAGATGAATAGATAGATAGATAGGTAGATGGATAGATAGACGGATCGATAGATGGACAGATAGATAGATAGATAGATAGATAGGCAGATAGATAGATAGATAGATAGGTAGGTAGATGGATACATAGACCGACAGATAGATAGATGGATAGATAGAAGGATCGATGTACAGATAGATAGATAGATAGATAGATAGATAAGTAGGTAGAGGGATACATAGATCGACAGACAGATAGACGGATAGATAGATCGGTCGATGGATAGATAGATAGACAGATAGATAGGTAGATCGATAGTTTTGCACATCGGCTTCTACAGGGCGTCCGCGGTGCACTTGGAGTGACTTATGATCGAGTTGCGCGGTATAAGGAAAGTCGTGACTGACATGTTTCCATCTGCGAAGGTCGAGCTTTCATCCGCTAAGTTTGAGGTACTTAAGACTCTGCTTCTGCTGCTCAGGAACGGTCAAGTACAGTACCGCGACGGCAGATACAGACGCCGGAGAACTAGCCAAAGCAGTATCTTTTCTGGGAGGGTCGGACCCTAACCGTGAACCCTACATCGAAACAAAAGCTTTCCCTGGGGCTCCAAATAGCCCAAAGTAGGCACTATTTATAGACTTTAGACCCCAAAGT